AATATAATTCTTTATCTTTAGGAACTTTTTTCTTTCATAGTTTTTTATCATAGCTTTTGTTTTCAACATATTCTATTTATTATTTATATGATTAAGATTACTTTATATAATGAAAATTGAACATGTTCTAAACAAAATTTAAATATCAATTAATTTTATATTTTTCAGTTGGAATTACACAACAATAATATCAGTAAATTAGAGCCAAATGTTTTACAATTTCTAAACAATAGTCCGTCGTTAACATTGCATGGAAATCCATGGATATGCGATTGTGATACGAAAGATTTACTTAGCTTTATACAAACGAAGATTTCAGACATTCGTAATTCTTCCCTAATTACTTGCAAAGATATGAATATTTCGATGATAAAAATGACAGCAGCAGATTTCTGTCCCACTTACACTACGTTAATCGTATCATTAAGTTTTTCTTTAGCTGTCTCAGGTATGATAATTGGTCTGCTAGCAGCAATTTATTATAGATATCAACGAGAAATTAAAGTTTGGCTGTATGCACATCAATTTTGCTTATGGTTAATAACAGAAGACGAATTAGACAAAGATAAATTGTATGATGCATTTATAAGTTATTCACATAAAGATGAAGATTTTGTTGTGAATGAATTAGTTTCAAAATTAGAAAATGGACCTAAACCATTTAAATTGTGTCTGCATTTTCGTGATTGGCTAGCTGGAGAATGGATACCAACACAAATTGCGCGTTCTGTTGAAGAATCTAGGCGAACGATAGTAGTTCTATCACCAATTTTTTGGAAAGTGTTTGGGGACGAATGGAATTTAGAGTGGCGCATTGTCAAGCACTTAGCGAACGTAGATCAAAAGTTATTTTAATTTTATATGATGAAATTGGTCCCATTAATAATTTAGATCCAGAACTCAAGGCATATATGAGCATGAATACATATGTAAAATGGGGTGATCCTTGGTTTTGGGACAAATTGCGATATGCGTTACCACATACTGAATTTACAAAGAGTGTTATAAGAAAAAAAATTTTTCAAAAGCACCAACCATGTATACAAATTAAAGGCGAGAAGAAAGAGCTAATTTATCCAATTGATACTCTTGAAACACTTCCTGCAACAAACACTCCACCAGCAGATACTCTTAAAACATTTATATGTGATAAGAAGGACAGTGATAATAAAGAGAATTCTCAAAATCTTTCTTCATCAGATTGCAACACCAAACTTATTCTTTCAACAGAAGAAT